GGCGGCGGGCCTAGTGGCAGCTGCGCGGCCTGGCTATCTCACGCCCCGCAGTCCACTCCTCTTCAGCAGCAACCTGCGAACATGTCAGGCGTAGGCTTTCACGTCTTTAAAACATGGAGTGCTAATAATGGTTATATAAAAAATGGTTCCTAAATAATTATCTGTAGTTATAGTAAACAGGTTTGTATGATCCATTTCAACTATTTCGGTACTATTATCGGTTTATCGCAAAACTAAAAAATAGAAAAGTACAGATTGAACTCAGTGCTGTCAGTCGGTATTTATTTTGCACAAGTTGCTATCGTATAAATTAAATATATAAATGAAAATAATCTTGTTAGATATTTTTATAGCACACTTCTACACAGTCACGTTTATTATGAAGTCTAGAAAGCTAAGGAATAATATTATCAAGTACATTAAAGTGTATATTGTGTTATAAATATATTTACCATCAGCATAAATAAAGGCAACTTTATAGATTTGTGAAGTTAAGGAATTTTTTAATACTTTTGTTATGACATAAAGCGGGGCGACAGTGCCCCGAGGTCACCTGGCGATGCTCCGGCGGTCGTCGATCCTGCCCTGCTGCGGCATAGGTGCGGCCATCCAACGCGCTCACCACCACGCCACATACGGCACTCTGTAAACAAGCAAATAAATGTATATCATTATTTGCACATGGTTTTAAAGTTCCAAAACGTCATGAGAAACGCAGTTCCTCTTTCGACAAAAAATGTAATAAGAGGTAATCGTTGCTTGAAAGTTTCAGTTTGCCTATTGTATCTACACTGAAAGCTAAACAAACGTTTTATCTACTGGGTACTAGATGTCGTTGTTACAATTCACTATTAATTTGAAAGTGCTACTAAGTTTTTTGACTAAAGTCAATAAAAAAAAGAACTCCCGTGTTTCTCAAAGTTAGTTAGCTAAAAGCGTAACATTAGTAATTATGAAGTAAAATGTAATAACGTGAAAGGGAATATAAACGCATTCATGCCGTTTAAAAACTACAATGCGCGGAAGAGTTCGCCTCGTCACGGCGAAGGCGGTGTAGAAAACGAATGGATTGCTTTGCTTGACTGTAAAAAACTAACAATGCATCCCCCTCCCTCATTACACGTAATTATTGGGCACAGACAATGAGAAATTATACTTTTATTTTCTGAAGAAAACTTTCTTTTTACTAAATGATTCGACATTACGTCATTTTAAAATTAGTGTAAGCGATCAACGATTTTTATGAAAAATTATTTATGAATATCAAATAGAAAAGCTGATTGTGTAATGATAACTATTTAAACTTTCGTGTTTTTTCTTATAAATGTATGAATATGCATACAGAATGCAAATCAACAGATGTGTGAAGAATTACATTTTTTATTTCATCATTCTGGGTCCACAGCTGAATATAAACGTAATGTTTAAAATACAACATTTGCATATAGTTTTAAATAGCGCATATTGTAGTACGTTGACTCTCAATCTTCGTGCGTGTAACGTGACGTTACATAACGAGTTGTAACACGATGCGGTCAGCGTCGCCGCTGCCGCTGTATTGCAGTGTACCATGCAAACTACACACTTTTCTATTCCAAGAAATTATCACTTACAAAAATATCGTATTTTGCAAAGTAAAAACATTTCATTTTATATCTTATAAATTACTTTAAATAATATAAGTGAGAAAACAAAACTAAGAAATATACGAAATACATTTTTAAATTTAAATTGATTTAATTCCGAAACGAAAATTCCTTGGTATAAAATCAGAACTAATTGAATAAACCTTCAATCTTTTTTTTTATTTCTATAAGCGGAGGTTTTCTTTGTAAAATATTTATGAAATGTATTCTTGGCGAGCGACCTCGGACACACTTCCTGCTGTATTCTGAGGACCTTGCTCGCAGCCGCAGCCACACTCGCATTGCCAATGATCAACATCTCGCTAATCACTTCTTCATACTGATTTAATAACTCATATAAATACGTACACAAACAAAACCCAAGTTTAGTCTCATTTTGTTATGACTTCACCAAACCATACATGTAACATTACCTAGTTTAGGAGTAAACTAGTAAAGAAAATTAAATACTTTAAAATTGTAAATACTTTAACTGTTTACATTTTTTATGTATGTAAAATATCTTACAGTCATAATAAGTTTAACCGTTGAATTTTGTTTTACTAAGAAAAATCTTTTTATAATTCTGGGAACACTGCCATCTATGTTTGACTCGGTGTACTACATAAAAAAAAGGCGAAATCGTTTAAAGTAACGAATTCAAAAAAAATAATGATACAGACACAATAAATATTTACAATTTTCTACAATTGTAAAACATAAATATTTAAATTGTACTTAATTAGTTTAAAATTATTCTAGGATTTTAAGGTGGAACGGAACGCAACGAACTGTTGTGACAGCTAATGTCAACGAATGTCAAACCGGCGTGTTTTGTATTTATGCCGTGTTGTTTTGAATTGAACTTTAAAAATTTTCAGAAACAGTGCAATGTCTGGGGATTCTCCTACTTCTGATTCCGAAATTAGTGCTTGCAGTTCAAAATTTGATCCAGTCAAAACTCTTTATTCGAGTAGAACATTAATTCCTGTTGAAAGTGCACCTTTATACAACAGTGTCGACCAATTCGAAGCTTCTCTTCAGAGTCAAAATACCATTGTACCCGTTGGACACAGTGAGTTAGTCCGCAAACAGAAGGAGGAAAAGGAAAAAAGACAAAACGAAGAAGCTCGACAGTTAGCAGAATTGAATAGGCAACGATTTGCAAAATACGAAGGTGAGGTTAGTTTTGTACATTGTTTACGTGATTACTGAAATATTTTTAATAAGAATTTATTGTGTTTGACATAATTTCAGATATCTTTGTTGTTTTTTATGTAATATTGTGTGTTGATAATACTTATCAGTTCCCCTTGAAGTTGTACCTTGATTTGCAGCCAAAACAACAGTTAGGCTATTGATATCTTTGATTTGATATAAACATTAGATAGTAATGGCCGCCGGCCTTGAATGCTTGAGATTGTGCTAGTATATATTATGTCTGTGATGTAATTTTTGTACTAACTGGAAATATAGGGATTTGCTCAATTTTTTTTCTTAGAACTTGTTATTATTTGTGTCTGATTTGTTGCAATTTAAGAAAATTTTAATTTTTGACTTACAGGTAATAAGAGTATATGTGGTTTTTATACATAATATCTAGTCTATAAGCTTTTGTTGTCATATTCATCATTAGTGAGGGGCTCGGAGCCTAACCTAAGTTAGGAGCGAAGCCATAGTCAACACTGGCTTACTGCGGGTTCACTTTAATTTTTTTGAATCATGTTTGTATATTCATCATTGTATAACCCAATTTTGTGTGTATGTAAGTTTGTATGTATTTTTAAACAATTAATATAATTGATGAACTTGTGATATTAATTTAAACACTGGACTAGAGTTCCCGCTAGAATCCCATGCAATATCCAATATGTCTAATGACATTGACAGTTAGAGATGTGACGTTTATGCATGTAATCTAGTGATGTGCGAATTCTACAGCGCGGTCCTAATTGTCTTCTTAACTGTATGTGCATTTATTAACAACCATGCTGATTTTGGCAAATTAGATGTCGTTCAATTAGGCTTTTTCCCGGAGTGTTATTGGGTATATTACATGAGCACAAAAAACCTACAGTGGATACAAAGATATTCAACCACTTGTAAGTGTTACGTTTAAATTAAGAATACTTTATTATCTGCTAGCTTTCGCCGGCGACTCCGTTCGCGTGGAATTAAAAAAAATAAGTAGCCTAAGTTTTCTTCCAGACTATCCTCTACATCTATGCCAAATTTCATCGAAATCCGTTCAGCTGTTTAGGCTATAACAAACATCCATCTAAAATTTCGCATTTATGATAAGTATTAGTAAGATTAGTAAGATGTTTTAAATACCAATCACCTGAGATATATTATTTTTCTACTCGCTATTTAAGTAGGGTTATCTGTGTACAACACCCCAGGGGTGGCGGGTGGTTGCGGGTCACCGGTCGCGTTCAACGCACGCCGCTGTGTCACAGTGGGCCGACGACCTCACCGGTGTTGCTAGGTCGGTACTCGCTATGCTAAGCTATTGCCCGCATATGACCACGTATGTGATTGGAAACTACAGACTAGTTATTGTTTGTAATAATATCATTTAGTTTATGTTAAAATTTACGTTATATTGATAAGAATCTATTTGTAACATCGTGAATCTCGCTTTTGTACTCAGCAGCGATTTTATTTTAAAAGTGGTTAATGAAAATCGGAAGAATCTTCAAGCATGTAAAGAGTTAAAAGGCTTGAATGGTGAAAATGGAACTAAATTAATTTAAATTTACACAGAGCCTTATTGGTATTGTATGATAAATGAGAAGTAATGCGGATTCTTGAAGAATCTAACGCATCAAAATATCTTATAATGGTTAGATATCGTAGTATCCAGAGTATCGTATAGCAGCGTTTCCATAGTGATGTTGTGTCCCGAAACTGACAGGTTATCGGCAGTGGCATCGCTTCATTAGCATACCGGCCGTGACCCGCTGACCCGAACGTAACGTAATACCAATTTCTTTCAAGTATTGTATGTGTAACATTGTGGACAGTCGAGTAGAAAATTGTTCTACCCTATTAATTTTTGAACATTCGCGTACAAAAGTGTAATCCACATTTCAAAAGATCTGCTATAAAAGTATAGCTATAAGAGGCGCCAAATATTCTTACAGGAAAAAAGAAAGTCAATTATATTTGTGTTTTGTAATAGTAAGCATATACGATGTTCATAAAAGAGAACTATTTGTTTGAATTATGACAGCGCGCATGCAATCGCGTGCGTTTCAACGATTGTTTTCCGGGCAATTTGACGAAAATGGCGCGGGAAAGTTGCCGCCTCGCGTTTCGGAAAGCTGCAAACTCCCTGCGCGTGAATAGGGTTATTCTATACCAGGTGTTGCGGCAAAATCCCAGGGCATATCTCGTTAATATTTGTCTAACCTTGTCTTTGCCTTTTGGGTAATTTAGAACTAATTAGCAATCGCGTTAGAATGCGAGAAACTTGGGTTCGAGTTTGCCGCATTGCTTTGGTTGCGTAGGTTGCAATTTTGCAATTTTCTTACTCTAAGAAACACGTAATTATTTGTAATAGAATTGTAAGTAAAAGAAACAATATGCATTTGCAAACTATGATACAGGTTTATATCTGTGATCCTGTTCTTTGATAATGATTACACTGTATCATCGCTGGTTTATCATTACTCAAACGCATAATGGAATGAGTAGAGCGCTGTGCGAGGTCCATCGCGGCTTTATCACGTCATCTAGATATGAAATTGCGATGGTAAATGGAGCGCACTTCGCTAGGCGGCTTTCTCGTGCGGATTTGTTGCATAACCGCTTTCCACGCGGCCGCAGCTCCCTCCCCTCACACCCGCTCCGGACCTGGACCCTCGGTCGTTGACACACGCGTCCAGATATTCGCGGATTCATCACGAAAAAAAAACGAAACTCGTCCCGGTGCCCGGTTTTTACGAAGCGAATTTTGAAGACACGTCTTTCGAGAGCCGCTGGAATTACAATTAATATTTATAATATGTTTTTGAGGACTGTCCATACACGATCATCGTATTTCTTTCGGTGTGAAAGACATTGGAACATAATTAATAATGTTAATAGTAGTTTACTGCGAGACACAAAAAGTTGTACTGCAAAGATTTATGGAATATGATTGTTTTCTTGTTTACGAGCAGAATTAACGAAGTAGATAACAATAGTGGCGTGGTGATATCGTGGC